AATATAACATACAGAAGAGTCATTATGATTATTATAATCATGATTATTATAATCATTGATAATGTTCATACCTGTAGCCGGGTTTTCCTATTGACTTCTTAGTCAAGCAAACTATTGGTGCCACCGACCCACAGGCCTGCACAGCCATCTAATTATGCATTCTGTGAAATAGGAAGCAAGCAGGTTTGATACGAGGAAGAAGAGCTCGAATTGCCTGAATCAAGAACTCTTCACTAGCTTCAAGGGCTCCCTCCTCCCATTTGCAGGTCAGAAAAGTTACACTTAGTTAGGTTTGAAGCCTGTCGACCTCAGCTCTCTCCATGTCTGCATTTCACCTGTACTAACAAAAAAATAGCCAACTTCCTAAAACGGGTATTGAACTTTTTGTATGTACGGATATATGTGATATACACACAAAAATACGCATTTCAGTGTATATACATATATACATTTGTGTGTGTGGAAGGTAGGAGGAGAGGATGTTCCAGGAATGGTTGGAGAAAAGGGGTACAAGAGGTTTGGAGTCTTAGGCTTCAGCATCCAGCAGGCTTGTGTAAGCGTGTTAGGAGTGGATAGAGAGACAGGGTTTTTAATGGACGTGCTGTTGGAGTGTGAGCAAAGTAACTTTTATGAAGAGATTCAGAGAAATTGGTTAGTCGGTCTAGAGTCCTGGAGGTGGTAATGGCAGTGCCTGCACTCTGAAGGAGGAGTGGGGATGCTTCAGCTGGAGAAGTAATATGAATGTAATGGCAACACACTTCTGGAAAGACGGCGATTGAGTGAATGTTAGTGAATGTATTTTCTTCTTTGGGTTAACCTGCCGTGACAGGAGACGGCCAGGGAGAGAGTGGTGGAAGAGGGCGTGAAAGAGAGGGGAGTGCGTGAGAGGGGGGAGAGTGCGTGAGAGGGGGGAGAGTGCGTGAGAGGGAGGAGAGTGCGTGAGAGGGGGGAGAGTGCGTGAGAGGGGGAGAGTGCGTGAGAGGGGGAGAGTGCGTGAGAGGGGGGAGAGTGCGTGAGAGGGGGGAGAGTGCGTGAGAGGGGGGGAGTGCGTGAGAGGGGGGAGAGTGCGTGAGAAAGGGAAAGTGCGTGAGAAAGGGAAAGTGCGTGAGAAGGGGGAGAGTGCGTGAGAGGGGGGAGAGTGCGTGAGGGGGGGGAGAGTGCGTGAGAGGGGGGGAGTGCGTGAGAGGGGGGAGAGTGCGTGAGAAAGGGAAAGTGCGTGAGAAGGGGGAGAGTGCGTGAGAAAGGGAAAGTGCGTGAAAGGCAGAGTGCGCGAGAGAGGATGGAGAGCGTGTGAAAGACGGGGAGAGACACCGGGAGACAGAGTGTACTCACCCAATTGTACTCAGTTGTGGTTGCAGGGGTCGATTCATAGTTCCTGGCCCCGCCTTCAGTGGTCGCTGTACTCACCTAGTTGTCACCTGCTTGTGGTTGCAGGGGTCGATTCACAGCTTCTGGACCCGCATCTTAACTGGTCGCTACTAGATCACTCTTCCTCCTCCATGAGCTTTATCATACCTCTTCTTAAAGCTATGTATGCATCCTGCCTCTACTACATCATTTCCCAGACTATTCCACTTCCTGACAACTCTGATTGAAGAAATATTTCCTAACATCCCTGTGATTCATCTGGGTCTTCAACTTCCAACTGTGACCCCTTGTTGCTGTGTCCCATCTTTGGAACATCCTGTCTGTCCACACTGCCAATTGCTCTCGGTATTTTATATGTCGTTATCATATCCTCCCTATCTTTCTCCTGTCCTCCAGTGTCGTCAGGTTGATTTCCTTTAACCTCTCCTCGTCGGACATACCCTTTAGCTCTGGGACTAGTCTTGTTGCAAACCTTTGCACCTTCTCTAGTTTTCTTACGTGCTTGGCTAGGTGTGGGCTCCAAACTGGTGCTGCATACTCCAATATGAGCCTAACATACACGGTGTACAGGGTCCTGAAAGATTCCTTATTAAGATGTCGAAATGCTTGTTCTTAGGTTTGCTAGGCGCCCTTATGCTGCAACAGTTATTTGGTTGATGTGCGCCTTAGATGTGCCTGGTGTTATACTCACCCAAAAATCATTTTCCTTGATTGAGGTTTGTAGCCTCTGGCCCCCTAGAATGTATTCCGTCTGTGGTCTTTTTTGCCCTTATGCAATCTTCATGACTTTGCACGTGGTGGGATTGAACTCCACAAGCCATTTGCTGGACCAGACCTGCAGCCTGTCCAGATTCCTTTGTAGTTCTGACTCGTCCTCGTCCGACTGAATTCTTCTAATCTATTTCCCATCATCTGCAAACAGGGACACTTCTGAGTCTATTCCTTCCTACCAGAAACAGCACTGATCCTAGGACTGACCCCTGTGGAACCCTGCTCGTCACAGGTGCCCACTCTGACACCTCGCCACGTACCACGACTCGCTGTTGTCTTCCTCACAGGTATTCCCTGATCCACTGCAGTGCCTTCCCTGTTACCCATGCCTGGTCCTCCAGCTTTTGTACTAATCTCTTGTGTGGAAGTGTGTCAAACTCCTTACAGTCCAAGAAAATGCAATCTACCCACCCTTCTCTCGCTTGCTTTACTGCTGTCACCCTGTCGTAGAACTCCAGTATGTATGTGACACAGGATTTCCTGTCCCTGAAATCGTGCTGGCTGTCGTTGAAAAGCTCATTCTTTTCTAGGTGCTCCACCACTCTTCTGATCATCATCTCCATGACTTTGCATATTATACATGTCAGTGACACTGGTCTGTAGTTTAATGTTTCATGTCTGTCTCCTTTTTTTAAAAATTGGGACTACATTGCTGTCTTCCACACCTAAGGTAGTCGCTCTGTTTTGATAAATGTGTTGAAGATTATTCCTAGTGGTACACAACGCCTCTGCTCCATCTCTCAGTACCCATGGAGAGATGCTATCCAGCCCCATCGCCTTTGATATATCTTGCTCGCTTAGCAGCCTCTTCTTATTCTCCTGGGTCCTTTGCCTTCTATACCTCTTCCATTCTCAAGCACACTTGGTTTTGGCCTGTCTACACCTTTGGGTGAACCAAGGGCTCATCCTGGCTTTCTAATTGTTTCTGTTACCCTTGGGTACAAACCTCTCAGCTTCCTTGCATATTGTTGTCACATATTCCATCATCTCGTTTACTGACTTCCCTGCCAGTTCTCTGTTCCACTGAACCCCGTGCAGGAAATTCTTCATGCCCGTGTAGTCCCCTCTCTTGTAGTTTGGTTTCATTCTTCCTGCCCTTCCTGCTTCCTTCTCCACTTGTAACTCTACTATATATTCGAAGCTCAGAACCAAGTGATCACTGGCCCCGAGGGGTCTTTCATATGTGATGTCCTCAATATCTGCACTACTCAAGGTAAGTACTAGGTCCAGTCTTGCTGTTTCCTCTACTCTCTCTCTCTGGTAGTGTCCTTTACGTGTTGGTACATGAGGCTTTCCAGTACCACCTCTATCATCTTAGCCCTCCAGGTTTCTGGGCCCCCATGTGGCTCCAGGTTCTCCCAGTCTATTTCTTTGAGATTGAAGTCACCCATAATCAACAGCTTTGACCTGCTCGTATGAACACTTCTGGCCACTTCAGCCAATTTGTCACCCATCGCTCTATTACTCTATTATACATCACTGCAATTACCACCATGGGACCTCAAGACTGAAGTGTTCTTATTATGTAGTCTCTTGCTTCTCCTCTGTCTCCTCTCTCCAGCTCATCAAAATCCCATCAGTTTTTGATGAGCAGTGCCACTCCTCCACCGCCTCTGTCTTTCCTCAGGATCTGATATCCCTTTGGAAAGATGGCATCTGTTTTCATTCCTGTGAGCTTGGTTTCTCTGAGAGCTATGATGTCTGGTGATGCCTCTGACTCTTTCGTGCCACTCCTCCCACTTGTTATTTCATCAGTGTTGGTGTCCCATGCCTTCAGTTTCCTCTCCAACACTGTGTTCTAGGGGGGTTTGTGAGGGTGGGGGACCTGGCAGTGTGCTGTGGGATTCTACAGCATAGTGTGGGGCGGGGGCTGTAAGTGTGGATTGTGGTTTGTGTTGGGATAGCGTGTTTGGTTGTGGGGTTCTGGGGATGATTCTGTGTGTGCTTGTACTTGTTGCTCTGCCCTGCTTGTCCTCTGCTGACTCTGTCCTCGTCTCTCCTCTTAGCCCCTTTCGCTTCTGTGTCCTCTCCCTCAGCTGCTGTCATTCTGTTCTTGTTCTGCCTCGGTCTAGGAACACCCTCTTGTAGGCTGACGATTCCTGCAGTTGTGGTTTCTCCTATAGGATCCTGTTCCACACCGTTTCTGTCTTGAAAATCAGTTTCACCAGCCGATTTCTCCCCTTCAAGTACCCCCCCTATTCTCTGAAAATTTACTATCTCAGTCATGTCCTCCTCGCCTATTTCTTTGACGTTTTCAATCTGTTTTTCTTCCTGCCATCTTTCATTGTGTGTCCTCCCTTCGCTCTTCTGAAGCCCATGAATAAACACTGACTTCTCCCTCTCCTCCTCCCATCGACTTTGTGTGTGTGTCTGGGGCCCGTCGATACATGGCCATTGTCTCCCTTAATTTTTTTCCTGCAACTCTTGATGGCATGGCCATGCCTCTGCAAGGGACCTATCCCCCTCTCCACATTCTCCCCTCTCCCTTACTGCTATCCATGCTCCCAGCTGCTCTACCCCTTCATTCCTCTGCCCTGCTTGGTGGACTGATAGGGTCTTAGCGTAAGTCATATCTCCTTCCTTTCCGTTGGGCTCCTACTTCAGTAGGGGTGTACCTGCTTCAGATGCTATGTCTCCTCTAGGCAACAGCACTGTAACTCACTTCTGCCTATTTGCCTCATATTCTACAGCCCGTATCCTGGCTTCTGCGGCTTCGGCTTGTGATTCCGATGTGTGTGTGTGTGTGTGTGTGTGTGTGTGTGTGTGTGTGTGTGTGTGTGTGTGTGTGTGTGTGTGTGTGTGTGTGTGTGTGTGTGTGTGTGTAAGCAATAATAATAATAATCATAGTGGTGTATCGACAGTGTCGGGCGGGTGAGGACAGGAGCACCAGTGAGGCTGAACGGGCAGTGTCACAACTTGAAGCTTTGTGTGGGATTCTCCGCCGTTCTCTCCCCTTCCGTCACCTCTGGTTCTGCAGCCGCCGCCCCCCCTCGTGCAATCACCCACGACACTACAGCAGATACTGATCTCATTCACTGATTACTTGGCATAAAGCGATTTGACCTACACCAGAATGTTTTTCGTCATTGTATTTGTGATCACTTTTCTCTCAGTTCTCATTTGGCACTTTGCCTAGCATAGGACAACGAAATAATACGTCTACATGAAAATCAAATCAAGCTAAAATTTCTGGCTGGACGTTGGCAAATATATAATATACAAACAGTAATGTGAGAATACTATCAGTTCTGGCACAACTGGTGAGTATGTGAGTGGGTGAGTGAAGGCGGTCATTGTCTCAAGACAGTTTTCTCAACGCCAGTCTATTTAGTCCGTTTATTCAGTCAGGTCAGTCCGTCAGGTCAGGTCAGTCCACCGGTACGCCATGAAGCAGCAGCTACCGCAGCGGTTAAGAGTATCTCCAAGGAGCGCTGCGTACCTGGTGGTGTTGGTAGGAGTGTTGAGAGCTGCTTCCTGTGAACCCCTGGTGGCCAAGTGTAATCCCGGAGACTCAGAGGTTTACTGCCAGTGTGTCACCAAGTCCCCACGAGGGGGCAACACAGTCTCCATCAAGTGTGACTTCGAAAATAAGGAGGTAAGACTCGGCAGTTATGGAGGTAAATGTGATGCTATCTCTGGTAGAAGTGAATGTGATGATTCACGAAATCGTAATGACAAGATTGCCAACAAACCCTATGGTTAGAATGTGATGATGTCAATGGGAAATGTGAATTTCAGACCTACATTCTCTTCCTGCAATGAGATCACGTAAGGCAACTACAACCGGAAAATTTCTATCAGTGCTTTTCAATAATCAGCCCCATGAATTTCAGTATTTTAAATAACTAATGTATTTTCGGGACTGAAAAAAACCACTTAAATTCCACTCGTTTTAAAGAACCAGTTTACTAGTATTTATTCATCCTTTTCCATTCATAACCTTAATTAAATTGCTCTTCTGTTCTTTGTCAATTTAAAGGATTCTTATTTGCATAAGAAAAAAGGGGCTTATTCTCTAGTTTCCAATCACAATCTCAATTCATACTTAAACCTTTCCAGAACTATTTCACAATTGGTGTAAATCCCTCTTCATTTTTCCTACAACATCGGGCCACTCACCGCTTGAAATTTTAATTCCGTCCCAAAAAAAATCACTTCGCTTCCCTAGTTGAAACGTTACAACCCATGAGCCACTATTCCTTCAAAAACTAATTTATATTCCTTCTACTTCGCCTTAAATATTTTATACAACTTTGCTCAGCTCTTCCTCTCTCCGCCCGTTGAAATTTACCCCAGTCTCAACTGCAGTAACTAAATTCCACCTTAAGTTATTAACTGCCTTCCTGATAAATGTAGCTCCTGTACAGTGATTATATTTCTACTAAATACAAGAATTCAAGATTCACACTCTCTTCTCTAACACATGTGTGCTTCCACATTTTCTCGAACTATTGAATTTCCTGTCCTCACTATTAAATCTCACTCTGCATTCCTTCCTAAAACACCCATTAACCTAAATCAATTCCTTCCTACAATCCCAACCTCAACTAATATTCCTTCTAATGGAGAAGTAGACTTTAACATCAATTTTCCTAACAACCACAATACATCACTCTTCCCTACAACCACACCTTAACTACATACTACTTACTTAAACCCTACAACTTCATCACTTCTTCTCATCACACAACTTAAAATCACTTCATCTAACAGCATGATAAATAATCACTTTCCTAACACAACAACCCTTAACTATTCACTTCCTCCCTCAAAATCTCCTCAACTACATTCATCTTTCTACACCACAACCTAACCTACAATCATTCCTTCCTAACTACTCCTAAATGTAATCATCATAATTTCCTAACAAGACTGCTTATCCTATCTTCCTTCCTAACACATCCCTCAACTAAATCACTTCCTCCCTGAAACACAACCTAAATTACCATCACTTTTCACTACAACTCCACACCGATACTTATCCTGTAACATTAATTTCATCCTTCCATAAAAAACAACCTTATCCTTACATTCACTTCATCCCTATACACACCTAGCAACCTTACCTCACTTACCTTCCTACCTACTTCAGCCTTACTAATATTCCTTCCCTAAACACCCTCAACCTACTCACTTCCTTCCCTAACCCCCACACTTAACTACATCAACTTCACTCCTAACAACCAACTACATCACTTCTTCCTAACACACCAACACTTCAACCTAAACACTCTTCCCTTAAAACTCAACTTACTCTATATCCTTCTAAACACTAACTTCACTTCTTCCCAAACACCCAGCAACTACTCACTTCTTCCTACTCACTCCTCATACTACATCACTTCTTCTAACCTACCACACCCTGAATCTACTTCCGTTCCCTAACTCACCTTACAAATCCACTTCCTTCCCTAACACACCCACACCCTCAACCTACATCACTTCCTTCCCTAAACACACCACACCCTCAACCTACATCACTTCCTTCCCTAACACACCCTCAACCTACATCACTTCCTTCCCTAACACACCCACACCTCAACCTACATCACTTCCTTCCCTAACACACCCACACCTACATCATTCCTACTAACACACCCTCAACCTACATCATTCCTTCCCTAACACAACCTTACTAACACTACACTCAACTTACATCCTTCCTCCAACACACACACCCTTAACCTACATCACTTCCTTCCCTAACACACACCTCAACCTACATCACTTCCTTCCCTAACACACCCACACCCTAACCTACATCACTTCCTTCCCTAACACACCCTCAACTACATCATTCCTTCCTAAACACCCTTAACTACATCACTTCTCCCTAACACACACCTCAACCTACATCACTTCCTTCCCTAACACACCCACACCCTCAACCTACATCACTTCCTTCCCTAACACACCCACACCCTTAACCTACATCACTTCCTTCCCTAACACACCCTCAACCTACATCACTTCCTTCCCTAACACACCCACACCCTAACCTACATCACTTCCTTCCTAACACACCTCAAACATCACTTCTCCCTAAACACCCACATTAACTACACATTCCTTCCCTAACACACCCTCAACTACATCACTTCCTTCCCTAACACACACCCCTTAACCTACAATCACTTCCTTCCCTAACACACCCACACCCTCAACCTACATCACTTCCTTCCCTAACACACCCACACCTACATCATCCTCAACAACTCACTAATCACTTCCTCCTAACACACCCCCAACTACATCACTTCCTTCCCTAACACACCACAACCTACTCACTTCCTTCCCTAACACACCCACACCTCAACCTACATCACTTCCTTCCCTAACACACCCACACCCTAACCTACATCACTTCCTTCCCTAACACACCCTACAACCTACATCACTTCCTTCCCTAACACACCCACACCCTCAACCTACATCACTTCCTTCCCTAAACACACACCTCAACCTACATCACTTCCTTCCCTAACACACCCCAACTACATCACTTCCTTCCTAACACACCCACACCTACATACATCACTTCCTTCCCTAACACACCCACACCTAACCTACTCACTTCCTTCCCTAACACACCCACACCCTCAACCTACATCACTTCCTTCCCTAACACACCCTCAACCTACATCACTTCCTTCCCTAACACACCCACACCCTCAACCTACATCACTTCCTTCCCTAACACACCCTCAACCTACATCACTTCCTTCCCTAACACACCCTCAACCTACATCACTTCCTTCCCTAACACCCACCCTAACCTACATCACTTCCTTCCCTAACACACCCACACCCTCAACCTACATCACTTCCTTCCCTAACACACCCACACCTTAACCTAATCACTTCCTTCCCTAACACACCCACAACCTACATCACTTCCTTCCCTAACACACCACACCCTCAACCTACATCACTTCCTTCCCTAACACAACCCACAACCTACATCACTTCCTTCCCTAACACACACAACCCTACATCACTTCCTTCCCTAACACACCCTCAACCTACATCACTTCCTTCCCTAACACACCCACACACCTCAACCTACATCACTTCCTTCCCTAACACACCCACACAACCTACATCACTTCCTTCCTAACACACACCACAACCTACATCACTTCCTTCCCTAACACACCCACTAACCTACATCACTTCCTTCCCTAACACACCCTCAACCTACATCACTTCCTTCCCTAACACACACCCTCAACCTACATCACTTCCTTCCCTAACCACCCCAACCTACATCACTTCCTTCCCTAACACACCCACACCCTCAACCTACATCACTTCCTTCCCTAAACACCTAACACACACTCTTCTAACACACCCCAACAATCACTTCCTTCCCTAACGCACCCACAACCTACATCACTTCCTTCCCTAACACACCCACAACCTACATCACTTCCTTCCCTAACACCACCCTCAACCTACATCACTTCCTTCCCTAACACACCCTCAACCTACATCACTTCCTTCCCTAACACACCCCCCCCAACCTACATCACTTCCTTCCCTAACACAACCACACCCTCAACCTACATCACTTCCTTCCCTAACACACCCACATTTTCCCTACACCACACTACATCACTTCCTTCCCTAACCCCCACACCTCAAACCTACTCACTTCCTTCCCTAACACACCCAACCTACATCACTATCCTTCCCTAAACACACCCACACCAACCTACATCACTTCCTTTCCCCTAACACCAACCTACAATCCTTCCCTAAACACCAAACTACATCACTTCCTTTCAACACAACACAACACCTCAACCTACATCACTTCCTTCCCTAACACACCCACAACCTACATCACTTCCTTCCCTAACACACACACACCAACCTACATCACTTCCTTCCCTAACACACCCACAACCTACATCACTTCCTTCCTAACACACCACACCTCAACCTACATCACTTCCTTCCCTAACACACCCACAACCTACATCACTTCCTTCCCTAACACACCCACAACCTACATCACTTCCTTCCCTAACCACACCAAACCTACATCACTTCCTTCCCTAACCACCCACAACCTACATCACTCCTTCCTAACACACCCTCAACTACACACTTCCTCCCTAACCACCCACAACCTACATCACTTCCTTCCCTAACACACCCCAACCTACATCACTTCCTTCCCTAACACACCCCAACTACATCACTTCCTCCTAACACCACTCCTCAACCTACATCACTTCCTTCCCTAACACACCCACAACCTACATCACTTCCTTCCCTAACACACCCACAACCTACATCACTTCCTTCCCTAACAACACACCTCAACCTACATCACTTCCTTCCCTAACAACACCCTCTAACCTACATCACTTCCTTCCCTAACACACCCACACTTCAACTACATTCCTTCCCTAACACACCCTCAACCTACATCACTTCCTTCCCTAACACACCCACACAACCTACATCACTTCCTTCCCTAACACACCACAACCTACATCACTTCCTTCCTAACACACCCCAACCTACATCACTTCCTTCCCTCAACCACCCACAACCTACATCACTTCCTTCCCTAACACACCACAA